CAAAATTTTGGTATGAAAAGGGTCACTGCATAGGAGTGAATTCACACATGCAGAGCCCACATAAAGCAATGGAAACCTGTACCTAACAACAGTGAAACATGGACTTATGGTATGTGTGAAAGAACCTGAGCTGCCCTCGGATTTTATGTTCTTTTGGCAGGACAAGCACAAGAGGCAAAACAATGCACAGTTACAAACAACCTTTAGTTTTAGTTGCTTTAAATGGTTAAATGAGATATAGACGTCTCCCTTTTCAATTCAGTGCAAAGCATAGGAGAACTGGAGTTTAGAATCCAAATAGTGTAAAAGTGAACACTGCCAGTGAGCGTTCAAATTGCTTTTTCTGTTCTCCATGTTCTGTGAGCTCCCTACTTACAAGCTAAATGCTCAGTGATTTCCTTTTTGTTTTAAGAAACCCTCCAGAAGAATCAGCAAATCAGAAATGTCAAAAACCACTAGAATTGAAATACCTATATTTCTGTGACTGTCCCAAGTTCCTATAGAATAAAAACTGAACTCAAGCCTACCACATACAGTACTGCTTCACCTAGCTTCTGAAAGCTGTGGGTTTTTGTACATCTGTTCATCTCTCTCTGTGTCAAATCAACTGGAAAGCAACATTTTATTTCCTTTAAATGCAGCACAGTCTAATGCAGTGGTTCTCAAACTTTTAGAACCACTTAAAAAAACCCAATCAGAGCTGGGGCCACTCTGGCTGCATTATTGGGCAAGTTTTGATTAGAGACAAAATAGCTGCCCCTATACCTGAAATCAGAGGCCATGCTGCTGCCAGTAGTGGCAACAGGCACTGTCCATCCCCCCCAGATGCCTCAGTCCCTGGCCTTCCTGTAAAGCTGGGAGCCAAGGAGGCATTCCCTTCACCCATGGACACCATGCCTGGCCCCCAAAAGTCACTGTGGCCTGGGCTCACACACTGCAGCCTGGTGTTATCCCTCCACGGGCCTATGGGGCCCCAAAACCCCCTCAGTGGTCAGAGGGGCCTGGCCCCACATGTCAGGGCCCAGTACCACCTCCCCACAAGCCCAAAAGGTCCCTACACACTGTGGCCTAGTGCCCCCCCCTCAACACGCATGCGCGACTGCAACCACAGCCTGGGCCCTGGCAGGCCCCCCTCCCCCCTTGCCAGCCCATATGGCTGAAAAGCTGTCTCAGGGCCTGGCCTCACAGCCCAGTGCCCCCCTGTCTTAGAATAAACTACTGGGTTTAGAAGATTCCCCGCGCTTGAACAAAGGACATACTCACGGTTGTTCTCACCCATGCAAAGCTTTATTTAAGGATACTCACAAAGGCAGGCAATAGGACAGAGCAGAGAGGACAGTCACTTCACATCGGCCCTAGGTGGCAGCCGCCACCCCGCATAATTCCCCTGGCCCCAGAGTGTCCTGATCCCGGGGATGCGATAGCCTGCTCCGTGCAAGTCAGAACTTTTGCCAGAGCTGAGGAACCCATCGTAACTCAAGAATGTACAGCTTATATAGTTTGGAGTAAATAACGTTATCTCAAGCTAAGAATTTGGGGATGAGTCGCGGTCCAACACACCTGGTGTTTACCACTTTCCACTGTATTACAACATTCTACTATCTAGGTTCAGGGTTCAGTCACGCTCGCAGAGCAGGAGGCTACGTGCCATTTCACCGGCCTACTATGGAATAAGCATGCAGGACTCTTGCTACTAGCATTAGTAAAGCTCTTACTATTACAGTCCACCCCTCAATTGCGAGACAGACCAAGAATTTGAGGTCTAACTTGCAATCGTCCTAAGCAGTTCGCATATACATATACAGATGGGCGAGGGACCAAATGTGCAGATACAAAAAGCATGTCCGTAATAACAAGCATACAGCCACAGTACAAATAACAACAATAGGATGCGATAGAAGATTTAATACAACATTCGCTTTAGGGGACCACCCTTTAAAAATGTCCCACCAATGATGCACCGTAAGGTCACGCTCTTCTTGGGCGATTCTCAGTAGTTCACCACACTGGGTCATTATCAGGACTCCGGTTCAGGCAATGGTGGTAGCTATCTTCTGGAGCTGGCGAGTGATTTCTTTATACTGGTAAAGTAACTGCTAAAGCTGTGTAAAAGAAACCTTAACCAGTATCACAGAGGAATGGGAAGGGTAGAGTGCATGGCTTCATATGAGACATTAAGGAAGGGGACTCTCCTTGGTACGAAGGTCAGTCATGCTCACAGAGCAGGCTACGTGCTGTTTCACCAGCCTACTATGGGATCAGCATGCAGAACTCTTGCTGTTAGCATTAGCAGAGCTCTTAGTATTACACCCCCCTGCTGGCCCATGGGGCCCAAAGGTCTTTCAGGGGCTTGAGGGGCCCGGCCCAACACACCACAGCTTAGTGCCCCTTCCCCCCAATATGTCACTGCCCATGCAGCAAAAAGCCTGCTTTGGGGGAGGGGGAGGGGGGCACAGCACACCAGTACCCCCCCCCGGAAGAGCCCCAGGCTTACCTTTCTCCCAGCAGCAGGAACAGCATCTCTGCTGGGGGTCTGACCATGCTCTTTACAGGTAGGGAGGGGGAGGGAGAGGCTGCACAGGGGAGGGAGACAAGGCAGTGCTCTGGTTGGCCAAAGAGCTCTCTCTCGGGGGGCGGGACACATGCTCCCCTGGTGCCCCCCCACCAGTCGCCTGTGTGTTCAGCAATGAATTCTAAATCCAAAATCTGCTAAAATTCAGCACCTTCCATGTTTTAGGGATGTATTTGGTAGCTATGTTGGTCTGAGATAAAAAGAAATGCAAAACTCTAGAACTCTTGGATCAGAGATGATACCTTTTATTTTATTAGACCAGCTAAGAAATTGCAACTGACAAAAACACTCCCATGGACCCAGAGGAACTGACTTCCATCTTCAGCTTCCTCAGTGCAAAAATGAATTTATTTTCTACTTATAGGGACTTTTTACCATATTTAATTTTCCCTGAGCCTGAGGAAGGGCATGTGAGCCCAAAAGCTTGCAGAAAAAGGTGGGTTTTTTGCGATTTCTTAGTTGGTTTAATAAAAGGTATAATCTCTGAACCAAGCGTTCTAGAGTTTTGCATTTCTTAGAAGAGTCATAGACACCAGCCAACTCCAGAACAGCTAAAGCAATTGCTGTACCCATGTTTGACAAAGAGCAGAGTAAATTATCTTCATCCAGTGGGAAGAGCACGGGATATTAGGATTATCACATTTATCGTGGGTTAAATGTCTCACGATGATTTAGGGATGTACTTAGTAGTCGTGTTGATCTGAGACAAGAAGACATACAAAAACCTAGAACTTTATACAAAAAAAACCTCTAGATGTACAAAAAGTACGTCCACAGTGATCTAAGCATCTGATGACAAAAGATCAAGGTGACACTGCTCTGCCTTCTACAATGATCTTATTAAGTGCTTTGCCTGGAGTGAGATCACCACTTTCATCATACCTAGAGTGAGTAAGCAGATTCAGAGCCAATTCCATACCATTAACAGATTTCAAAAGGGATCTTGAAAAAGGGGAGAATACAACTGTGACTTCTGTGTCATTTTAACTTTTTATATTTGAATTCAGACTGAGAATTTTTCCTCCTTTTTAAATGTAAAATAAGGTAACATCTATCCTGTTTATCCTAAATGCTCTGTAGACAATTTTATAGGATTATGACATCATGGATGCCATGCAGTTTAGCCATCTTAATTGAAAAGGTAAAGGCTTTACATTCAGACTGCTGAAAGCCATTTGTCCTGTGATTGCTTTTGTTAACCTGGTGTATAACTCAAAAGGCTAAACAAACAGTTGAGAGAAAAGAAGTTGTTAAGGATTCAGCATCCCCACCCTGTCAGTTAAGGCCCTAGTTCAGGGGTCGGCAACCACCAGCATGCGTGCGGAGCATGGCACACAAAGCCATTTTCCTCAGCATGCCACTGCCAGCCTGAGCTCTAGGCAGCTGCTGCCAGCTGGGAGGCCGGGGTGCTCCCAGCAGGTGGCTGGAAGCCCTGCTGCAAGCAGCCTGGGCACCATGGCTAGCAGCAGCTACCCAGAGCCTGGGCTGGCTGCAGCCAAGAGGTTGCAAACAGCTGCTGCCTCCCTGCCCTGGCCCGGCCCTAACTGGCGCAGTGCTGCCACCTGCTGCCTTCCTGGAGCCTGGGCCGGGAAACAGCTGAGGCAGGAAATGGGAGGCAGCAGCTGTTTGCAGCCTCCCAGCTGCAGCCGGCCCAGGTTCTGGGTAGCTGCTGATAGTCATGGAGCTCAGGCTCCTCCCAGCAGCCAGCTGGGAGGGTTGCAGCAGGGCTTCCATTTTCCCAGCCTGCTGCTGGGAGCAGCCTGGGTTGCATGGCTATCAGCAGCTACCCAGCACCTGGGCCAGCTGCAGCCAAGAGGCTGCAAAGAGCTGCTGTCTCCCTGCCCCAGCCCCAGGCTCCAGCAAGGCAACAGGTGCCAGCAAGGCTCCCCACTGTTGCCCTCCCTGCTGCTTCTGCAGAGCAGCATGTGGAACCTGATGCAGCAGGGCACAGCAGGGGGCGCAAAGCTGTCTGCTGCTCCAAGCTCCTTGCTGCCCTGGCCACATTTCCCCTGCAGACTGGGGCAGCAGCAAGGGGAACAACCCTGCATGCTGCCCACGCTGATCCTGTGCACACAGAGGAAGTATGACTGGGGCAGCACGGAGCTTACAGCAGCAGGCAGCTTCCATGTGTGGCCCTGCTGTGTGCCGCCACTCTGGGTCACACGCTGCATTCCAGAGGACCCAGGGGAGAGCAGCAGGGCCAGAAGCACGTGTGCAACCCACAGCAGCAGCACACAGGGGGGCTGCACAGAGAAGCTGCTTGCTGCTGCAATCTCCGTGCTGCCCAGGTCACACTTCCTGTGTGCATGGGAGCAGCGTGGGCAGCATGCAGGGTTGTGCCCCTCGCTGCTGCCCCCGCCTGCAGGGGAAGTGCGGCCAGGAGTGGCAGGCAGCTTTCTGTGCCCCCTGCCACACCGGGTTCCACACTATGCGCTGCAGAGGTGGCAAGAGAAGGGAGCATGAGCCTACAGTGCGCATCTGCCCTGCCCCTGCTCTTCACGCACATCTGGGGGCATGCCCTGCAGGAGTGCACGCTGCTGCTGGGAGCTGGCCCCACCCCTCCACCTGAGCAGACAGCAGGCAGCAGCAGTGGGGAAGCCAGCTCCTGCTGCAGCAACCACTGCCTTCAGTTGGGGGCAGGCAGGGAGCTACAGACCTGGGTCTCTGGCCCCATAGCCCTGGCAGCTGGGGGGCAGGGGCTAGGGGCTGTTGTGGGGGGACCCGCACAAAACAAATACATAAGATCAAAGGTAGTATCAGTTTTGTCCCCAGGTTTACAATTTTTAGAAAATCTGGTGTTTAGCATAAAAAAGGGCAACATGTATGATTATTAACCATGCTAACATGCAGTGCATCCTGCCATGTACCCCCTGCCCTCGTTTTGTTTTTCTGGCATGCCGACACTCCAGCACCTTCCAAGGTAGACACTGTGGTTTCTTCGACACTTCGGCCAGAACACGTTGCCTACCCCTGCCCTAGTTTTATTTCCTTCATAACATTTCTGACATGCCCAAAGAGTCCTCTAGCAAAACCAGGGAAGATAAAGTGTTAACAACAATGTTTCTGATATCTCCCCCAAGCAAAAGCAGGAAGCATTGGCAAACAATGAAGAACAGAACTCAATGAAGAACAGAAAGCTAGCATCTGAGGACTGGATTCTGCTTTCATTATCATCAATGGCAAATTTATCCGAAGGAACTGCAAAGATGTCTTTGTTACCTCGCTCTTAATTACTTTCCCCTTTTGATTCCCCAGGTGTTTGGCCTACTAGTATGGGCCCTCATTGCTGACACGTACTACCAGGCCTATGCAGCGTATGGCTGGGTGATGTTCGTATCTGTCTTTTTCTGGCTGGTAACAGTCATTCTGTTCGTAATGTACCTACTGCAGCTTCACTTGAAACTCTACATGATCCCTTGGCCCATTGTGGTAAGTACCAGAAGTTGCAGTGCAGAGGATGAATTGTGCATTTCACCTTGGTAATCATTTGGGATTAAAGGTCCTTTGTTAGGATCACAGCTCAGAAACCCTAATATTGTTTGACCCCAACAGAACAAACTCTGTACCCCACATGCCTATATCTTACGTTGTTTGATTTTAAATCTACCCATTAATTACAAAAATACAGCTTAAAAAAAAAAAATGATCAGTAAGGCCTATACTAATACAGAATGTTAGGACAGCTCTACAGATGTCAAGGTGCTGGTGACGAGAGGATTTCTTGGTTTCAAACACAGCAGGTTCCATCCTCCTTCCACTTGCCAACTCCACAACAATGAATCGTCATCTCCAGTGGAGTTACACCAGTTTATACCATTAGTGAGGACAGTCAGGTCCAACATTACTTGAGAAGGGCTTGTCCGTAAATTACTGAAGCATGATTCAGCCAATTTAATTAGGCCAGTGCAAAAGCATGATGGCAATGCACTTCAGCTGGCATCTCTCATGCTGATGGTAGTTTAGCCTAAATCAATAATTTACCATGTTAAGCTCATTTAAGTAGGTCTTCATTAATGGCTGATATCAGTGCAACTGTAGCCATTTAACTACACCAGGACAATGTTTAAGTGTTAACCAGGTTGAGGAAAAGGCAATAAATTTGCTAGGAATAAAAACCCTTTCCCATGCTCTTTTGTGAATTTTATGTTTGAGTGTGGGACAGATTTTTTGGTAACACTGGAGTAAATGCAAGTAACTTTTTGGCTTTAATACGAGTCTGTTACTGAAAGGCAAGGATTTCTTAGGGTAATATTCTTTATTGGACCAACTACGTAGTTGGGATAAAGTTAGATAAGCTTTTGAATGTAAGATGTTGTTTCTCAGGTCTCCGATTATGGAAAGCTAGGCACAGCAAGTAAAGCATAGCATAGGGGAGGGGCTGAGAGAAATTCTCAGGTGCAGGAAAAAAGAAGAAAAGCAGCTGAGTGCTGGGAGATCAAGACCTATCACAAAAGGAGGAATGGGGGGGGGAGGGGGTGGAAATCAGTCTCACCTTCCTTGCATGGAAAGTATTCAGGAGATGGATACATTTATAATGGGCCATAATACATTCAATATCAGGGTTTAGTCCTTGGTTCTTAGTGTCTAGCCAGCTTATTGGTATTGCTAATTACTGAGGTTATTTTTCCAGCTTCCACAGCATGGAAATAGGCTCGGGAACCACGAGGCTGACATTCTGTGAAGTCAGCAGACTCACTCAGATACTTCCATGGTGCCACTTGGCTGGGTGATTAAATGCTGAGCTGATCCACTTGCTACCTCACAAACAGGAAGCAGAGCTGCATTATTAGAGGTTGGCAGGCAAACTAATTAACCCAGGCCCAGCACCTTGTGAACCCTGGACCTGTTTCCACAGCTAGTGTCTGCTGCACACCTGGCAAGAACTTCCCTGGCATTCAGTGGAAGCAGCTGGGATGAGAGAATTAAAAGAATATGATACTTAAACTAATATTCTGAGGCCCATTCAAAAAGCAAAGTTTATGCCTCACTTCTTCAAAAGGGTAGAAGCATGTGAAGGAGGTTCCTGATTGAGCAGTGCCGGGTAAAACAGTTATCAAAAGGGATGATAATTAGGTAGCAGACATGCAAGTGAGATAAATGGATAAGTGTTACTGCTATTGTCCCAGTCTGTCTGAATGCCAGTGGGGTAGAACAGCCAGCCATTCATTACTGGACATTTCACAATCAATAATGTGATATTGTTTTATTAGACCAACTAAATAGTAGGAAAAATTGTTCTTTGCAAGCTTTTGGGCACAAACACCCTTCTTCAGGCATAGAGAAGGGCTCCCCTTTGCCTGAAGAAGGGTGTTTGTGCCCCAAAGCTTGCAAAGAACAATTTTTCCTACTATTTAGTTGGTCTAATAAAAAAAAATATCACATTTACTCAAAGAAACTTATCTGCCTATGTCCTTAAACCAACACAGTTACAACCACACCTCAGGTAGAAGCTGGCACCAGTTTAACAAAAAGTCAATTTTAAAGCTGTTTATTCCAGGGAATGCAAAACGGTTTGGGCAGAACTACTACTAGAATAATAACCAGGGATCCTGGGTTTCTCTGATTAACAGCAAAAAAAATTTAAAAAGCAAAACCTCTGATAAAAACCCCAAAATCTGTGATTAAAACTAAAGCCCCCTCCCCTGCTGCTGGCCCTCACTCACCCCAATGCTCTCCCCCCCCCACCCCAACCCTGCTGGTGTCCCTCACTCCTGGGGCCGGGCAATGCCACCCCCCCTCCTTAGCCTTTTCCCTTCCCCACACAGACTTTCAGGGGTGGAGGGGGCACATGGGAGATGGGGAAATACATGGAGTGCCCACATTGCTCCACAACACCTCCCTGCTCTCAGCTCCCAGCCAACTTCCTCCCCAGCCCTACCTCAGGACCCCCAGCAAGCCCCACTTACCAGTCCATTTCAGTCTCCAGGGGGATGTGCTTGCCTACAAGAGCTCTTTGCAGAAGTGGGAAATCCATGTTTTCTCTGATAAAGACAGGAAATCGATGGTTTTCTCCATTTTTCCATGGAAAACCCAGATCCCTGGTAATAGCAGACTTGGGATTTCTCCTGGGACAAAGGTTTTTATCCTGGAATCCCACAGACTGAAAACAAATGTTGGGTTTATTCCAGGTTTGACTGTCCTGGGTTTTGCCTCGCATCACAAGGTACTTAAGTCATTTATGAGCACAGCTTGAATGGCAATTAACTCAAGTTATCCTTAGTCATAAGGGTGCGGGGGATGGCACAGGGGGGCACATCTGGTCACTTCAGTTACTTCAAGTGGGACAATGGACTTGTGTATCTGTTAGGATCCCAGAAAAGGGTTTGTCCTGTTTTTAGTCACAGATAGATAGTACAAGCCCATTGTCTTATGTCAGGTAAAAACAGATTTGAGTAGATTCCGACTCTGACTGATCCAAATCAAAACCTTGGGAGTGATGGCACTTTACACATGCAGCTCTTTTCTGGAATGAATGGCAGTTAACTTGAATTATCTCCATTGTCCCAGGAAAAAAAAAGTGTTGTCTAGATACCTGGCAGATACTATAAAGTAGGAAGAGCTTGTAAATCTGTAGAATTCCAGGATAAAAAGGCTTTGCCCAGGGAGAAATCAAGGTTTCTTTTTTACCCTCTAGATAAAAAAAAAAAAAAAAAAAGTTTTATTCTGGGATCCTATGGCGAAGTAGAGAGAGAACTCAAATTAGAGCCATGTGCAGTTAGAGCCACGTGCATGATCAGAGGTCAGGAAAACAGACCTTAGGACAAGAAGCTGAGAGCCATGGGACTGCCTGGAAAAGTGCAGGCTCAGGGGTGATCTAATGGCTACCTATAAGTTTATCAGGGGTGTTCACCAGGATCCTGGGTGAACATTTGTTTACCAGAGCGCCCCAAGGGATAACCAGGTTGAACGGTTATAAAGTCCTGCAAGATCGTTTCAGGCTGGACATAAGGAAGAATTTCTTTACTGTCCGAGCCTCCAGGGTCTGGAATAGCCTGCCATCGGAGGTGGTTCAAGAACCTACTCTGAACACCTTCAAGAGAAAATTGGATGTTTATCCAAGGATAAGGAAGGATCTGTTTTTTTTAAAGGAAGATCTTGGCTTTCCTGGTTGCAGGAAAAAAAAATTTTAAGACTTGATCCAAGTGCACCCTAGGGATAAAAACAGACAGATGATTTGACTTGCATTAAAACAGGTACAGGAGACAGTCCTTTACAGACACAACTTGAATGACAATTAACTCGAATTAGCCCAGGGCAAACTGTTAATCGGGATACTTCACAGGTACTTGATGTGGGACAAGGTATGTTTTAGCTCCTACAGGCTCATCTATTCAGAATCCAGGATTTGCAAACCAATCTCCTGAGGTTTGCCTGGGTGACTTCTACTTTGAATGCATGTGGGGCTGTGTCGACATGTTTTTTCCTCTTAAAACTGAGGTTATTTCATCTTAGTTTTAGTTGATTAAGAACTGGCTTAAAACAAACATTTTGCGACAGCAGTTTGCATCCGTGTGGCTAACCAGCACATGTAGACAGGCTGTAGACAAGCTCCCTGGGCTTGGATTCACTACTCTGGCAGATTCCTATAGTCTCAGCTAGAACAGGGTGTAACTGCATCTTGCGTTTACATTTCTGCTTTTCCTTATAACCAGTGGAAGAAGTTAGCTCTAGTTCTGTGAAGTGCAAGACATTTTTTTATTTCAAGGACATGTTTAAAACCTGGTTCAATCCCATCTGTACTATAAAACTGACTCAGCTGGCTCCTACAGGGTTAAAGATGTGTTGTAACATCAGCTTGGTGATTTTTTAACAGATGGGTAGTGGGATTTCATTACATGGTAACTCAGGTCTGTCCTTGCAGGTAAAAGTGCCCGGAGCCCTATTGTATTGTAAGTCATTCAGGAGTGTGAATTATGTGCTAAATACAAGCTCCCCAATTCTCTTTCAAAATTCATGTAAGAGAGAGATGGGAAGGCCTGGCCTTACCTATATGCATAAGAACAGATTTGTTGGGACCCAGAATCATAGCTAAGCCTCTTCCCTGTTAAGAGGCCAGGTGAGTGTGTGTATTTATTATAACCATATGGTCTGCATTTTCAAAAGCAAGCAGTAAATACAAGGGTCCAACCTAAGGCATCTTAAAATTGTGCTGAGTAAATTCATAGTTAGGCAGTAGGAAGAAAAGGAAATGTATTATGGTCCCTTTGTTACAGAACACTTTTTTCATTCCCCAGGTAGTGATATTCAATGCAGCTGCAACCCTCCTGTACATCACCACTTTCATAACCTGCTCTGCTTCTGTTACGCAAACTTCCTGGCTGGTTTGGGAGTACAACAGAAGAGCAGCAGCATCGGTAAGTGTAAAAAGCAGGCCCCCTGCTGTTCACACCTGGCACTGCTGTGTTAACGATAGACTCCCGTGCAAACAGCTTCCAGCTGTCCAAAATCCAAGCTGAACAATGGGGAAAAGAGGTGAGAGAGATGAGTCAGAGACTCACTCAGCTTTGCTGGTAACTAGTTCCTGGATAGGACTTGCTGCTGGCCAAAAAACTGTCACTAGCCCATACTTGTCTTTCCCCAGACCGGTTCCAGCAGGAGTGGCTGGAGCTCCCTGGTCTAAAGGGATACACCTAGTGGAGACAGAGAAGAGCAGGTGTGAGATCCTGTCTAGGCCAACCAGAGACAATGCATTAGTGCCTTTCTAGCATAATGTATCACCTCACAACTGATCTGGCACCAACACAGGTGCCACTTTGATGCTGGTGTAACACACAGTTGACTCATGCTTGAGCCCAGGCATAGCCTTAAGTTTCACATGGCATTTCAGCGACACCTCAGCATCAACTCAAAGATCAAAGCACAAGTACCCCAAGATAGCCATATTCGAGTCTCAAATGCCTTCTGTGGGGATGGTCTCAGGCCTTCTACGGGCAAAACACAACTTTCTACTGTGCTGCTGCCTGCCCACTCTGCTTTGCTCTGTCAGAAGTCCCACCCTTGTTGCCCTGTTTGTTCCCTTCTCCCATGGCTGTCTCAGCATTATCTTCCTGTGCATAGAAAATGCCTCCTTGGGCCACATCATTAAGTTACTTTTGTCTCCTCAAGCCCAAATTTTGTTAAGACATCTAAAAGAGTCAGTAAGTAATAGCTTGTCAGGGAAGCAGCTTGGGGTAGTAACTCCTGCATAAAAATACAAATGAAACTACCAACCCATCAGCCATCACATTGCTGGAGTGATTCTGTCTTTTCCCTAGCCTGAAGCTATTGCCTTGAAGATCAAGTCCCAGATTCTCACAGATAATTAGGCCTAGTATAAGTTTAGTACTTACTGGCAAACTCTCTCCTGCCAAGCAGGGTAAGGCTTTTGCCACTATACAGTTGTTGGCAGGTATGTGTAGACACTCCTGTGCCTTCTGCTGGCTTTAGGACACACTTTGGAAGGACTAGTTTTCTAATTCAGTTTAGGTATCCCTTACATGACACAAATAGCATGAAATCCTTACCCTGACCATAGGAATTATTATTATTAAATGTTATCAATGCATTTGCTATAGTAGGTTAAATGAGACCATGTGGTACTATAGCTATAAGCTTGCTCACGTGGAAGTCAGAGCCCTAGAGGGTGGGACATTTCTTAAGACATGTCTGATGCTTGAGAACGCTAGGCTGATCCAGTATCAAAAGCAGCAGCATTCAGTTAGTCTCTCTCATTTCTTACCTGTGCTGCATGTTGATGTGGTTCCAACTGACAAAGCGAAGTACTATGGTACTTCGGTACAATGGTACAAGGTTCACAACCTTTTAAAGGATCACCTTTTCATCCTGAAATTTCCTGTTAAAAACATGCTTTGCATGTTCAACCTGGAAACCACTGCAAACACGACTGATCAAACTTCACAAGCTCTTCAAGCTGAGGCATAATAAGCCTGACCTCTGAGGGGACAGGGACAGCTGACTTAAAGTTTAAGTGACTTACCTGAGTCAGTAGCAGGATTCTGGCCTGCATTTGTACCAAACTGGACATTTCTTCTTATAAATGTATTATGGCAGTTTCTAGGACATTGTCGAGCGAGGAACATGCACTCTAAGTACTGCACTGGGCAGCTGTAGCCTCAAGTGTTAATACTGCTGTGTTGCAGACACCTTAACAGTTTTCCCATGTCCCTTTCTTTCAGTTCTTTGCCTGCGTCACGATGATAGCTTATGGAGCCAGCACTTTCCTCAGCTACCAAGCATGGAAAGGAGTTGGCAGCAACGCAGCAACCAGTCAAGTGACTAACCATGCATAAAAACTGTGGGCTTCTAAGTCTGTTTACAACCATACAGGGGTACATTGGCTCAGTGAATTTCTAACAAGCTCTGGAGCCTCTCAAACCAACACTGAGTCTCTAATCTAAACCAAACCTATGCAACAGAGACTGCAGTCATTCAAGGCTCATCACTGTTTGGTGGCCTATGTGAAGGCTCTTTTGTGGTCTTTAATGAAGCTGACAGTTGATAAAAACCCAGGTATAACTGGCACCCTTGTTGGCAGTCCCTGGAGAAGCCAAGGATGGACTCTGGAGGCTGACATTCCCTCTTGTCTTTGGAGCAAATCATCACATGCGAGAGCAGCACAGTGTGAGTTGGTACAACAAAGACAGACCAAGAACCAAGTCTGTTGAGAGGACTCCAAAACTGGTCAATCCAGCAAATTTCACCAGCACTAAATTCACTAAAACACACCAAGCCCCCTACCTGAGTGATTGCAGCTACAACGTAAAAAAAAAAAAAAAATGTACAATTAACATCATGTGCATGAAGACAGAGTTGCAGGGATGGGAGCTGAGCAATGGTATAAGTTTGCAATTATTTTATTGATTTCAATAATTTAAGGAACTAATTGTATGTTTGAAATAAAAACCTTTCTAAATTCAACATTTGGTTTGTTGAGGAAGTTTTCACTAAAACCATGCCCTCACTCCCTTCCCCCACCCAAAGGAAAGCTACTGTAAAGTAAAACAAAATGTCACATCAAAATCAGAGATTTCAAAAGGAAAAGGGGCATAAAAAAAACTGTCCAAAGTGAGTAGCTACTGAATTTGCAGGGCTTGTCCATCTCTGCCATATGTTTGTATATAAATACAGTTAGAGGGTTTGATCACACGTGCTCCTTGAAAGAGAAAGATTCCTGGCTCGTGGAAGGGCAGTGGTAGTTCTGCCTAAACAAAAACTATTTTGCCCTTAATGTTACTTCCAGTAGTGTCCACAGCTCATTTAATTTCCATGGGGCTGGATTTTACACAAAATCCTTAACCGGAATGAAGACTCAAACCAGACCTCCAGCTACAGCAATATGTGGATGATCTGGGAATGGAGATGTGACCTAAAGCCCCAGCTGGGTAGCTCCACTGGTTTAATTTGAGCTAAATTAATTCCTACCGGTGAATGAAGGGGCTAATCACTACATCCAAATTTTGTTCTTTAGGATTACTGGGAGTGGGGGAGGGCATTCTAATTAGTTTACCGAGATAAAAAGCAACTGTTTTGTTTTGTTTTTAAATCTAAAGGATTACCTACATAAGGATGTTGTACTGTGCAAATAAACTAGTGGGAAAATTTAGATCGCACTAGCTGCTCAACACTTACTCCCTGTGTGGAAGCTGGTAGAGTATAGACACATGAGCAAGTTACTACAAGGTAAAGTTGGATGCAAGCCCAGAGCAAGTTAATTACTGCAGAACAGCTGCTTGTGCGCATGCTCTTAGCCAGTGACAAATGGGAGGTACCTTACTGCACTTCCACTGAGGGGCAAGCTACACTGCCTATCACAGGTTATAAACCTGTACAGACACAATTACGGTGCCAAGCGACTGTGAGCTGCAGTTTTCACACTGGGTTACTTCATGCTAACTTGTTCCTGTGTCCATACAGGGACACTCAGGAAAATTAATCTAAAGCAAGTAAAAGTGTAAATTTCAAGCAAACTAATTAAATTGAACACAGGCACTTTTTCTGAATGACAGTGGCCCTAATTATAGTTAAATTCATTTTTTAATTGAGCTAAATCAAATTTTACAATTCAAGAAAAACTGTGCATATATATGAGGGCCAGGAGCATCAGCATAAAGACTGTTTAAAGACCCTTTTGTTCCAGGATATAGACAAGCCAGCACCCAACCACCACCCACCTCAGCACACAACTAAACGGATAAGCTACTAGTTTGTGTTGTTTTTTTTTTGTTTTTACAAAACAAATTAATTTAAAAAAAAGCTAAAAAGTATATTGGCGATATTAAATGGCAAATGTCAAGGCACAGATATATCTGAAAAGAAGGGGAGGCAGGGGTGGAAGAATACCCAACACCATCTTCCCCCCACCCCCAACAACCCTGGTTAAAAGATGGTGAATTAGTGACTCTGGTACACAGTGAACACTTCTTAAGAACTCTGTATCCAGATGAGATTTCACTCTAAGCTGTGCCTTCTAGACCTTTAAATTATAAATTATCAAGCTGCAAAAAAATTAAATTCTGAGGTACTCCTTTACACTACCATCAATGCAATCATGAATAATTTGAGGACTGATAACAGGAAAAGAATAATAGCTTTCTTCATCTCAAACTCAAACACACAGAAGCATTAGCCTTTTTACTTTTAAGTAATTTAATTCACCACTAAACACTGAATTTTTTTAAAAGTATTTCAGTACATTTTTTCTTTCAAATATGACAAAAATCCATTCCCAATACAAAAAAAGAGTTTGGTATAATACAAATGTGTAAGAAAATGACAGCAAAGGAACTCCAGCCTGCACACTGAAATCAGAAAACCCAGATTGAAATCCTTTACAAATACTTTCTTTTAAAGTTAGACTGTGAATATTTTCTTTAGTGACTGAACATCACAAGCTTTCCTGTTTGTCTAATAAATTCTTAAAATAACTGAGGATACTGCATTCAGCCTGCGTTAAAAGCTAACCCAGTGCTCTGATAAACTCTTCTGGGGACAAATGACTTGTCAAATGTTTCCACCTACTCTTTCTAAACCACCTGTGCTATTGTGAGTGCATGCCCATGAGAACTCTTATTTCTGGCAGAAGCTGCAGGCAAAGACTTGTAATTTGTGCCTGCCATCTTGAGGCTGGTCTGACCCACCCTAGCTCCACTGATCTCAGGGGAAAGATGTCAGTTTACTCCAGCTGTTACTTTGTCCTAACAAATTTATGCCCTGATCTTACAATTAAATCTGTATCAGTAGACACCAAGTCTGCACAGAGCCCAGTAGCTTCAATGCACAGGACTTTCCCTGTGGAAATTGGGGGTTTATGATAGCAAATCTTTAACAAAATATAGATGGCTTTACTAGCACAGAATAAAAAAAGGTTACAGTTAAGACTTTTACTGAAAACCATTAAAATTTACCTCATTTGATGTTCAATAAAAGAAGAAAACCTGTAGAACTACTTTTATATGAAAAATATTCCAAAGCATTTTCTTTCCTACAGCACATTCACAGAGACAACAAAGATTTAAAAAAAGGCTCATAAAAACAGAGACTCCTTTTGTGATCTTATGCTTTGTTTTAAGGTGTGATTATTGACAAGTCAAAGTCAAGATCAGTAAGTGGTTTATTGGAAGAGGCACAAAACCCTCCAGGAGAGACATTTAAATAAGAGCGTTCATGTGGGAGGTTTCTAACAGAATTATGGGACAACATCAGCAGCAGACTTATGCAGCTATAATCACAGCCTCATGGAAATTCACAAAGTTATTTACAGCTGTATTTCTAGGTTTAGTACAGCCCAAGATTCTGCTAAAGCATTAGGGTGCTACAGTTTTTTTTTTATAGCATTTCAAGTCATTGCCAGTAATGCAAGTACCAGTACGTACTGGACACAAGTGCTTTTACCAACATGCCCTCTAGGGAGTTGGATATCATGGTGGCAAAAATAGCCATGTTTGGCAGAGACGGGAGTTTAGCCTACTGGTAGGCTATCACGCTTGTGTAGCTGCAATAACACAAAAAGTAGGAAAGGCTAAGTTTATGGTTTTAATGCCACATTGGATGTGGTTTGTTTTGTAATGCTGACAGAGCCTAAGTTCAAAACTGATTATAGAACTTTACAAGGGCTTGTGTATGTTGCATATTTTTTTTGGCCACAGGTATGCCAGCACAGCTGGCCCACTAGTAAAGATGTAGCATATGCAGACATAAAGGTTTTCTTACCAGCAGTTATGCTCATCCTCTCTCCAAAATGACACAAACTAAACCAGAACAAGCTACTTCCTGTCAGCCTAGCCGCATTCCTACCAGACGTTTTGCTGGCATGCCTACATCACCCAGGAGGCTTGTGATCTTCTGCTACTCCCCCAAAACTCTGGACCAAAACTCTATTTTTATAGGACTGAAACTGGGTAACAGTCCATTAGTGGATGCACACACACACACGCATCTACAATGACTGCTAAACTGAAAGTGCATTCTCAGCCTAAAATATATACATGTCAAACCATATTCTTCTTCAATAGAGAAGATGCAGTGTTTAAGAGTAAACTGAATAATTTTTTCTTAAAAGAACAATAAATGGTTCTGAGAATGTGAAAAAAAACAAAGTTGGTGGATTTGTAACCAGCCTTTCCAGACAGAGCAGGTTACAATACTCATTTTATATTATTATTGAAGGATTTATTATTATCATTATTTATTATATATGTGGAAATAAGATATCTGAGTTGTCATTTAAACCAAGAGCAAACATATCCCAGCTAATGAACTCTCTCAGAAGCAATGAGCTTCTTGACAAATAGTCCATATTGGCTGGGGTGTAGATGTTATCAAAATATTAAAAAGCAATTAATTTTTAGAAAGGCTTGAAATTATTCTCTTATGCTCATCCAATACTAGCAGTAATTCATAAGGGCAGTTTAGAGGATCAGGCCTTTCAAAACGTAGTCAGTCCATTACCTTTCATCATGCAAAATACTGTGATCCACTACTACTTAGGGTTTTGAATATCCAAATTAAAGCAGCAGCACTTATCTAGAGATGAGAACTAGTGTCAAAGTATTCTAGGGTGAAGATACTGAGGACTTGCTTAATGATGTCACCACTAACCCACTGCTTAAATCCAGACCACGACCTTCTTTTTCCTAGAAAGTGGGAAACAAACAACAAAAAAACCCCTTCAGTTCAGTAGTGTTTTTGAATACTAGGCTTTCAACCTAAAGCATTATAGAAGACACCTATAACCGACTTAGTGTTCCACTTACTCAACCAAATGGACACACTACTGTGCCTTTGAGCACAAAGAACTGACTTCTGGAATCTGTACATTTGCACCAAAGATCCACTTCTCCCCTGTTCTGTTCCTATCTGTAGGTGACTCCAGAAACTAACAGTACGATGTGTGGGCCAATATTGGTTAAGCACCTTAAATGATGTTTTACCAACTGTAGCTGGTCTCAGAAGCAGTTAAATGAGCATCCTCTCTCTAATCTGTTTTAGCAAAGAAGTCCATTTCCCCCTTAAGTCAGCTTTTTAGGTAACAGCAAGTAAGTATGAATAGGTTAAAAAAACAAAACAAACAACAAAAAAAAGCCTTCTTTTGTCTTTTTAGTCTCCCCTACACAAACAAATGAGAAGAAAAAAGAATATTTGGGGCTTAAAAACAAAACCAAAAAGACTGACTGGAAAGATTCTTAATTCATAGATGCAGTACTGCATGTCACTGAAAAGCTGCACCATCAGCTGCTTTGCATAGATTTTCTGAAAGCTGCATTTAGTTTATTAAAACAGCTAAAGCACGAAAGCTACCTTTCCTTCTGACCCTATATGGCTCTTGAATTAATGTGGTTACTCAAGTTGCTATCACCGTCTCCAATGCTGTCAGGCAGGAGCCATACAAAAATTAGCAATCTCAGCGTGTGTTAAAATAGAATGATTCAACATACTTACAGCTCGGTAATCCAAGAACATTTCTTTGAAGGCTAGAAAATCAGTAAATGTGAGAAGCATGTCAAATATATCACCTGCCATTTCTTCTTTGTGCTGTCTGTAAAGAAAGAGATTTGCAGGTGTAGAAAATTGGTAGAAATTACATCAGATTAAAAATTATGCATCTCTGAGGTAAATTTGCTACACGCTATTGTTTGTGCAACATCAAGATTTAAACAAACCCAACCAGAGATGTTTTCAAACTTCTAATACAGGACATTTTTTAAAAGAAATGTATTTGCCTGGAGTGTCTGTAATCCAAGCACTGTAATATTCTATCTACCTCAAGTCTTTATATAATTATGCCTTTCACCATGGTATCTAAATCCTAAGATATAGAAGTGTCATACCAGTGCATGAGAATCAGAAAAAGAAAGTGACTGGTAATTAAAGAAAAATAGAACTTGATTAGCTATAATTTTCCATTGCCCAAAGTTAACTAAAGTGGAAAAAGGAAGATAAGTGGAAAAACTTAGGTTCCAAGTCCTTACAGATTTAATAATTTAGGGCAGGGCTAGTAACAAAGAGAAGTTATTCATTCTGACTGGACTTCAGGTATACTGTCAGCATAGATCTCCTTTCTTGAGATGTCCCTTTTCATCCTGGCCAAGCCCCAACCCAGGGTAATGGGATCCCTTTGAAAAAAGTGCTTTCCAAAAGCACTGGCCACTGGTGGTCATACACATCTTGACAAGCCACAGACCACATACAGGCATTACATTTCTACTGAGAGAACTGATGTCCTAGTAGAAAACTACTACATACAGGCACTCACTCATTTTGTTCCAGAGGAAATGTACCTCATACCTCTAGGCTGACACTTAGAGGATCTCCCCTGTGAAAGAAACTTCCATTGCAAGAAATGAACACCTGTTCATTCCCATAGGATGCTCCCAGAAAGATAAAAAGGAGATGCAGCACCCACAAACTCAGACTGTAGCAGACTCCAGACAAGGAGGGTGAGACTCTCCACTGCCAATGTAACCAGAACACACTATGTGACAGGGAACCGTTACGAGGCCAGTCTTCCCTGTCCCACCTGCCACAACTTGATGCATTTAACTGGATGTTAAAATGCAGGAGGCTGCCCATTTAATGCCTCAAAGTCTAGGGTGTTATACATGACTCCGACCTTCCCTATACCGTGTCCCATGTCTTGCAGATGGCATCCAAATCACTAGGCCACCAGCCCAAACTACCCACTATTACCCCCCCCCCCCCCCCCCCCCAACTGAGCCTGTCACTTGGCCCCTGGGCCAAATGTGGCCTCAGGCATCTGTAGACTTACTTTGGCCATTACACCCCCACCCCCTCCCAAGGCTTCAACTCACACCCTCCTACTAGGGCCTACCATTTATGCCCTCTCACTACGGCCTTACTCGTGCTTTCACTCTCTTTTGGGGCCAGCCTGTGAGCAGCCCTTCGGGTCACTCCTGCAACCCTGCTTGGTGCAACCCTGTGCAGCCCTTCAGGCCCACCTCAACAGACCCTACTCTGCACCCTTATGCACAAGTCTTCAGGCCACCACTGCAAACCCTATTCTGCATGGCCTCTACACATACTTCCACCCCCACACTGGGGCTATTGAGGTCTTACACGCCACGGGACTTAGATGCCTCCCTAGGCATGCCTGGCCCCCCCTGCCTGTCCCTACAGCTGGGTTACCCACCAGGTTGCAAGGCCTGGGGATTTAAGGTGCCCCATCCTTGCCTTTCACTAGGGAGGGAACTGGTGTTGCATTTCCTGGGGACCACCCCGCCACGGGCAGCCCCACCACACCATCCTACCCTAGCAGGGTGTAGTTTTTAGTCATTCCCTAGGACCAGGAGCCTCCACCTTCCCCATAGATCCTTACCTGTACCTCCAAGATGCTATTAGCAGCCAGGCAATGTTCTCCCTATGGCTGCAACCAGCAAACTGCTCTCTCAGCCCTGAGGGCCTGGGTTAATATGGAGGATGTTCAGCTCCCTCCTCCAATCCCAAGGCCCTCCTCAGGTCATGCACCTCATTAAACTGCCTCACACCTGCTGGCTGCTCTGCTGCCTGTTCTGGCCCTTAAAGCAGCAGGCACTGAAGGTGCTCTGCCACACACTAGTTACAGGTATCTTTTTATTTTGTGCATTGCTAATCCATATCTGCACACTTGGGAAATTCACAAGCTGCAAGACCTAATATTTGAAGGCAGAAGATAAGCCAGATAATATTTAACAATGGAAAATGAGCTGCTGTCCATAATAGAATACCAGCTTGAGGACTAAGCTCTTAAGTGGCAGCTCAGAACTATTTTCTTATATGGCACATTTAGGAATAGCTGAATGATGACCTCTGACACTTATAAGGATTGGTTGCTCTCATTCTGATGGCTGTTTCTGTACATCACACTCTCTTGCACACTTGGCCTGACACTTCAGGTCAGAGGCCTACAACAGTGTGGGGTGATATAACTGAAGACGGATGTCAATTAGCAGGAGCTGGAGTCATGAACACACTTTTTTTTTTTTTTTTTTTTTTTTTTTTTAAAGTCCCTTTCACAAGAGGAAAAAATTCAAGATCTACCATGGTCCCTAGTAAAATGTTTACTAAGAAAAAAAATGCACTTTAGGAAGAAAAAGTCAGAACAAAAGACTTACTGTAATGACATAGTAAAAGCAGCCATACTAAAACCAGGAATCCTGTCAAGGAGTTTTTCTTCAATGTATTTCTCTACTAAACAAATCTAGAGACAAGATACAAATATAAATTCCACATGCAGACTTCATAAAGCAGTCTTACATTTTACCATTCATAGGCTTGTTTTTATTGGGCAAAAACAATTACCTTGGCTATAGCTTTCCCTGCACACAATGCTATTCAACGCTCTGCTAGAACACCAAAGAGCCATCACAGACACTTTTGTAAGTATTGGTTGTACTGTTCTACAAATGGATCTTGTGATTTTTTTTTTATGGTTGTTTTGCCTTTCTTATTTGTAAGAGACCTGCAGCAGCATAGCCATGACTCTATAGTCAGTGGGTGATGTTAATGACTCTATAGTCGGTGGGTGATGCTAATTAGCATGAGATGGACTAACTGGCTCTGTAACTCAGTAGTGCTGATTATGTCTGCCCACAGTACCACAAAGCATGCTTGGGGGCTGCTGCTTGTAGGCATGGTAAGTTGACTGAGTACACCAAACTTAAGTCGCCAAAAGAAAAAATTAAAAATTAAGGCATGATGACTGGTACAAATTATATACTATTCACTCAATTGCTTGCCAACGTCATAGTCTACCCTATTATTTACAGAACATTTGTATTTGAAGTCTCTTCTCAGAATTCAAGTCAACTTCCAATTCTGGGGGATGAACACCTTTGTGTAGGGGCAGGTATTCTCAAAGTCTGCCCACTGCTGAGTTTTTTGTACCTTCCCTTGAAGCATCTCTGACTAGGTTCTGTGAGACAGGACACCGAAGTGTAGCTTGACATCAGTTTTTTTCCAGTCTGGCAATTCCTATGTGCCTACTGTACTGCTCTAAATACAAATATACTGCAAATATTGGCTACATGAACAACCCTTCTGTTCAAGTAGCTTAACATTACAAATACATTTTTAAATTAAGATTCATCTCAGTGAAGAGACAAAAAGGGGATCTGGAACTCTAGAATCCTCCTGCTGTTTGCCAACAACTGCCATGCTTCAAAAACCCAATCCTTGGAATCTAGTAAAACATTTATTTTAAAAGCAGAAAAGAGAGGGGGAGGGACGAGGAAGCAAACAAACAAACGAGAAAACAAAAAAAATCTTACATATTCATTAAAAATGGATGTGTAGATGAGTTTGTTTTCTTCTGAATCCTCGAATTCCTGGTAGTGTTTCTCCATAAAGCTTCTTTGTAATAACTGAAAATCATCATCTGGGCCACAATAAAGAAATAGTATACATTTACATTCAGTTAATTCATTTTTACTGTAAGACAGCAACAATATTCAAGGGTGTTCCAGAAGCTCGTACTGTAGCTGGCATTGATTGTATAAGGGTTCTGTCATGAAAACAGCAGTTGTTACTCTACCTAGATTCAGAGGAAATTAATTTACAGCTCACAAGCCATAGGCAGCTTACGAAGCAACTTGATGTGACATGCAAGAGCCTTCTAACACACCAGCTAAAATGCATGTCTAGTGCGTATCAGCGCAGGATATGCCTGTTACATACATCAAACCCCCATGTGTACAATGGATGCGGGTCAAATGAATGTTCGTTGTTAAAAGGTTAGCCTGAAATTTAAAAGTATTTAATGTCCAACAAAAGTCTGGATTCCCTGCCTTAATTTCTGATCCATCTGTGAGAATACACAGAGACTTTTAGCAAAGATAAGTGGGAGTATCACTATAGCTGGGATATTGTTCTTGTGGGGGGGGTGGAGGGTGGGAGGGGGTGCTCTGTACATTGTTTTAATATTTCACTGGCTTTTATAAGTTACTTGGTTTCTCCCACTTTGATCTTGTGTTTCATGTGATTTTGCTGTCTTAAGATACCCTGAGCATCTGTCAAGAAGGGTGGCACAGGCCTCTATTAAACAAACAAACAAACAAAATTCTTGCTGGTTGTGCAGCAAGATGTGCTGCAGGTTCATATTTTGCTTAAAATTAGCTGGATTAACAGGGTAATTGTATGCTGATCTACCTGTATGCTCAGGATGGAAAGCAAGAATTTGCAAAAGCTATGAAAATAACTTAGTTATATGAGCCACAACTGGCTCATGCTTGAGATTTTTGCCTGTCACCAATATGGCAGACTTTGTAAATGATTATTTATGAAACCTATCATTGAACAAACTATTTTTTTCATTCAGACATTAATTAATTAGTGAACATTGCTTTTCTTATTACAGAAGCTTTTCTCTCTCTTCCCCTCTTAAGCCAGGGGTGTCAAAGATAGGACCCATTGTCTAGCCATTGATGGTGGCCTTGGGCCCGAGATGACCCAAAGGCTGCATGCAGCATATGCTGGTCCAGCTCCATAGGCAGGACTGAACATGGCACCCATTCCAGCTGCTCTGGCATCTGCATTGTATGCAGCGCCCACCTTGGCCAGTTGAGACATGCGCCACATACGGTACCCACTCCAGCTAGTCCAGGACATTCACTTTCCCTTTAATATCAATGCTAGAACTAAATGCAAAAAGTTTCTAGTGGCAAAAGATTTTTCACTTATGAATGAGCAAAACTGGAGAAGGGCAGGGGGTTGGTTATAATGGAATTCAGTATTTTAATGGATGAAAATATCTCTATATTACACATTTACAAACAGATAAGAGACAAGATAAGACTGAAGAGCATAAAGAAATCATTATCATTACTAAGGGCCAGAAAGGAATGTGGGCAAGGAAGCAGATGTTCCCATGAAGGGACCGACAACTGGTAAAATACAAGATCTCTTTAGCACTGCCTAAACCACTTTTTCTCTTGCCATGCTGACCCCTCGGTAAGAGTTCTTGATATGAGGTTTTAAAATGTTTTATTGTCCAAATTCCTTTGCAAGACATTTCACTCCTCTTAGAATTTATTGATGGAAAAAAGTACTGTCACATTACAGTTGTATATATATTAAATGAACCTCAAGGATAACTAAATGTCATTACCCTGAGGAACAAGGTCTTGGGCCTGCTCCCCGGCAGAGTTCACATGAATGGGTTCACACCTGTTGTATCCCCAGGAGCCGAAGACCCGGACCCGGAACCCGTAGTGAAGAGCCAAGAGGTAAGAGCTGGGCTGAGGGAGAAGGCAGGTGAGCACAGGGACGGTCATAGGGGACTGAGGAAGTGTGTGTGTGTGGGCGCGTGCATGCATACATGCGTATGTGGGGCCGTGCCAGGCACAACGCACTGGCTGAGTGGAGCCTGGGAGGAGAACGCCCCCCCTGGATCTCTACTTAGCTGAGCTCCACAGGGAGCCCTGTGACTGGAGCTGTGCGAACAGAGCGTGCAAACAGGTGTGGCCTGACTAGGGTGCAGGAGTTCATGTGGAGGGGTGCGCAGAAGGCACCCAGAGGGCTGGTCTGAGCAAGCGGCTCAAGCCCAGAGGCCTAAAGAGCAGCTGCTGAGACTAGGTAAGTATGAGTAGCTTGACGCCACAGCAGGGCTATGTGTACCTCGCAGCCAGGGCGGTACCCCGCCATGCCTGTCAGCTTCAGCTTCTCTGCACTGAGACCCCCACCCAGACAGAGCCTGCAGTGCTTGCCCTGGACTGTAGGGGCTGCCTGGCACAGCTGCTGATGCCTGAGAATGGGAGCACCCCCACTTGTGGGATGTGCTCCCTAGTTGAGTCCCTGGAGGCCCAAGTGCAGGAGCTTGAGGAGGAGGTACGCCAGCTATGCACCATCAGGGCCCATGAAGATTATGTCGACAACTACTGCCAGGCTCTACTCCACGGAAACAGAGTAAAGAGGAAGAATGTGGAAGAGAAGGGAGAGGAGGTGGCCACAAAGATCCCCTCGGAGCTACCTGGAAAACAGCTGTCTCCAGATCCAGAGCACATAGAGCTAGGGCCACTCCTCCCCTGGCACTGCATAACAGGTACACTCCCCTCGCTATGCTTGAGGAGACTCCGACAAAGACACCAGAGGAGGAAGTAAGTATTCAGGAGGTATGTATTCCCAGCTGGGTCATGAAGCACTACAGGGATTTGGGAGCAGGGCTTAAGGGGCTGGGGCACAGGTGGCGTTTTCCTTGATCCTTCCGGTTTCGGGCTACAGGCTGAGGAGGGAGAGGGGATCCAGGTAGTGAACCAAAGACTGCGGCACTGGTGTCATCGGGAAGGCTTCGGCTTCCATGACCACAGCCTGCTCTTGGGTGAGAGAGGCAGTGAGCTGCTGGGAAGGGACAGCTTCCAACTCTGTCCGCTGGGGAGGAGGCTCTTCCCAGCCAGACTGGCTGACCTGCTCCACCAGGCTTTAAACTAAGCCCGCCCTGCCACTGCTGGCCCGCTAAGCAACCCTTGCAAAGCCAGTAGGCCAAGGTACTTAAGGGAGCACACCCCTGCACCAGCCCTAGAGCGAGCTGCAGGCAAGGCAAGTGCCCCCAAGGGGACACTTGCATGCCTGTACACCAATGCCAGGAGCCACCAATCAACATCGGCACCCAGGGTGGACTAGAGACCCTCTCAGTTAAAATCCGTGGGGAACACGGCACAGGGGACACGATGGTGGGAGTCTACTACACACCTCCTACCCAGGATCAATAGCTCGGCCAGGAGTTCACCAGGGAATTGGCTGAGGCCGCACGTTCCCAGTGCATGGTTGTCATGGCAGACTTCAACTACTCAGACATCTCGTGGGAAGAGCACTCAGCCAAATCCGAACAGCTGCAAAGCTTTCTCTCATGCATGGATGAGCTCTATCTGACGCAAGAAGTCTATGGGCCAATGAGAGGCAAAGCACTGCTCGACCTGGTACTGGCAACCGGGGACGACCTAATCAACGACCTAACAATGGAAGGGAAGCTGGGTAATAGTGACCACAAGCTGATCACCTTCACCATCTGCCAAAAAGCTGTCAAGTCAGTCAGCAGTACACAGGTCCTTGGCTTCAGGAGGGCTGACTTTGACAAGCTCAGGAGATTTGTCAGTGAGGCCCTAAGGGACCACGACCCCAAGGGGAGGAGAGTCCAGGAAGAGTGGTTGCTCCTCAAGGGAGCAATCCTAGATGCACAAGCTAAGGCTATTCCGTCTCAGCGGAAAGGCAGAAAGAGGGCACAGCAGCCCCCTTGGCTCAGCAAGGAACTAGTGGACCTCCTGCATCTAAAAAGACAGGGATGGAGGACGGGATCCACCTCCAAGGAGGAATATTCTGCACTGGTCTGGACCTGCAGGGAGCAAACCAGGAAAGCCAAGGCTGCGATGGAACTCCAACCGGCTACAACTATCAAGGACAATAAAAAGTCATTTTTTACATGTGTGGGAAACCGGAGGAAAAGCAAGGGCAACATTGAACCCCTGCTAAACCACATGGGACAACTGATGACCAACGCCCAGTAAAAAGCCAACTTACTAAATGGGTACTTTGCGTTGGTCTTTCACCAGTCCCACGGGATGCCCCTGCCCATTACGGGACAGGGAGGCCCGGGTGAGGGAGTTTCCTTACCCTCCATCAATGCAGACCTTGTGAAGGTCCATCCAGGAAGAGCACACACCAACTGCTGAAGCTTCCTTAGCCTGACGAAGGGTTTTTGAACCCGAAAGCTTGCTTAATAACTATTCTCCAACCATTTGGGTTGGTCTAATAAAAGATATCAAATTCACCCAAGGAACCTTGTCTGCCT